CACAGCCTCAGAAACTACAGGCATTTGGAAGGAGAACAGAGCCAGAGACAGCAGAGGAAGATCAAGTTGGAATCAGTACATACCTCCTAAATGTCACGGAGCGGCAAGAAACTGGAGATGAAGTCCAAGTCCACTGGGACCAGCAGCAGAATTCCATATGGACACACAGCTGTCTGTGGAACAGGCTGCTGAGCAACCCTAGGAGTGGGTTATGGTCATGTTTTAAACTGGCCTAAGCTTGTGACCAGATGTCATTAGCAGGAGAAGACACTTTCCATATGTGTTCATACCTGAGAGGGTTTTGCAGCAAGTCATGTGAAAAGGTGCTATGAGGTGTCCCTTGGAGGATCAGGCCTACATAGAGCAGTCAGGGCAGGAGTAATTTATGACAAAATGTTTCCAAAAATCAGGTTTCTTCTGAGACCAGAGGGGACCCCTGAATTCTCACTACTGGAAAGTAATTAAGAAGAGAGGGAGGTGATATCAGGTGTGCTTGGGGCAGAAGAATGAAGAGAACAGGGACGGGCATTACATGTAGGGAACATACAAGTGTGTCTCAGTCCCCTGAAGTCAGAGCCCAGGGCTCGTGGTGATGCCCAGTCATCCTTACCTGCATCTAGCGTGGCAACTTTGGTCACAAACAGGATCCAAGGCCATAGAGATACTGATTCCTGGCATCTCATTGACTTCAACCTGTGAAGGATGGTTTCAAAAACAAAGTAGGGACTGACATCCCACTCACCCCACCCCCAGGAGAAGCACTTATTGTTTCAGAAGGAAAAGTTCAGGGAAGAGGGTTTAGCTTAAGTGGTAAAGTGTATGCTTAGCAGGCATCAGTTCCTCGGTTAAATCCCTGGTACCTCTTCTAAGAATAAACTAAAAAACCTAATAAATCTCCCCCTACCAAGAAAAAGAAAAGCTGGCGGGGAACAGAGCTCACCTTCCAGATGACACCTCCTTTTCCAGATCTCAAAATGGAAATTTTTCCAACTATGTCTTTCCTTGTTAAACCCTTGTTAAACCCTTGTTAAATGCTACCATGTTTGACCCCAAACTTAAGCTAGTCTCTTTGGGGCACTGTCTGGGCTGGGGTGAGACAACATTTCTTGGTAACTACAGAGCCAGAGTCAGACCTCTGCATCCAAAAGAGCTACAGAGAGGTGTCACATCTTCCCGCACCAGAAAAGGGCAGGAAGGGGTGGACCTCAAGACTGGAGAGGCTCAGGTGCCATGAGCAAATAGAGGATTGTGTTCACTCTTGCCTTCACTCAACACTCTGAGGAGGTATTGTGTAACAGGCTTGCTGAGCTGTTTAATATGTCTGTGGAGGAAAACAGGATGGGGGGTGGGGTGGGCTGAGATAATTTGTTATTTCTGATATTCTCTGTCTCTGAAGAAAGGAATTCTCTTGTTTGAAAGGTGATGAGTATGAAAATGCAAATTACTGAAAAAGAGATTAGGGAGTGGAGGGGTAGAGGGAATTGTCTAGGAAGAAGGTGGCAGAGATTATGGAAAGGGAGGAAGCCCAAGTTTGTGGGTGGAGAGAGGCCCAGAGACAGGGTGTGTGGTGGGAAAAGAGGAAGAGCTGGTACCAAGGGAGGAGCTGAGGTGAGGGAGCTGAGATATTTAAAGGGAATCGTGGAGTTTTGCAGTATAAGATGCCATGTAATTGTCTCCTTGTGAAATCTTCGGGAAAATCGCCATTTGTCAGTGCTTTGCAGCTGGGGTTTGTTGCAGAGGAGAAGTGCCAAGTGCTGAGCCCATAGCTGGGCAAAGCACCCCGCTGCTTTCAGGGGCTGGGTATAAGCACAGTGTGAGTGCCACCTTCTAAAGGGCGTGGAAGGTGTGCACAGCTTCCCAACAGGTGAGGGAGAGAGGAGAGACTCAGAGAAGACCCCACAATAGAAGGGGTACCAGAGATGAGCCTTAAAGGATGGCAAATATTCCTACTACAATTAGGGACAGGGGGACTTCAGGTGCAAGAGACCTAGAGCAGAGGCAGGGAGGGTGGAAAGTGTTCGGTATGTTTGAGTGATGATTTACTATGTCCCAACTGTTGTCTGCGTAGGGAAGAGGAGCAGGCTGGAGAGAGAAAAGGAATGGCTGGAGGATCTATGGATGCTTGGCCACCTTCAAATCTTAAAGCTGTCAGGATGCTCTGGAGAGCAAAACAGGGGCTTCCATGTGGTATTGCAAGAAAACGCAATACGGAACAATATGCTATATCCCAAAAAGGAGAGGAATAGATCTGAAGACCCTCTGGCTCCGCTCACTCCAAGTAGCTGCCTCCTTCAAATGACAAGCCGACCCAGACTGTAAACACTGCATAAAATAAATCATGTTACAGTCTCACTCAGTTTCAGCAGACTGCCCTTGGACTTGACAGCTCTGCTTCTGTTTCAGTCCCAGATGAGGAAAAGGCTGTCCGTGGGCATACTTACTGGTTTGAGGGGTCAGCATAACTCTCAGGGTCACTGATTTGTAGGGTAGGCATAACTCCCAGGGTTTACCAATGCTGAAACCACCTTTATTCTGGTAGCTGCCTGAGGAGCTCCCAGATCCACTAGGAGGCCCCTGCCTGTCTCCAGGGCTGCTGTCCTGTGGGTCCCCTCACTCCCTTCCACTCTCAGAGTTGTGACTGATCACCATGTACCCATCTGCCCCAAGAGAGTCTGAGAACCTCATCATGCAGGCCAGCCCAAGTGGATCTCAGGGGGTCTGGTGGCACCTTTTTTCTCTCAAGTCCCCCTAAACTCAAGAAGTAGAGATCACTCCACCAGTTAACAGACACATATTGAACATCTACTAGGTGTACTGCAACACGAAATGAATAAGACATGATCCTTGACCTCAGGGGTTTCACAGAGTACTCATTTGGGAAAGGCATGCAAATACAGTTGACCCTTAAACAAGGGTTTGAACTGCACAGATCCACTCATATGTGGGTTTTTTTTAGTAGTAAATACTACAGTACTACACCAGCCAGGTTTGGTTGAATCTGTGCATGTGGAACCAGGGATACGGAGGACCCGGGTATGTGGAGGACTGACTATAAACTACGCAAGGATTTTCAGCTGCACAGAGGATCAGAGCCTCTAACCCCTGTGTTGTTCAAGGGTCAGCTGAAAATGTAGGCTGGGAAGGAGGTAAGGATGGGCTGATGTAGGAAGACAGAAGGGAGATACCTAGCCCAGAGGGCAATGAGGAGGAATAGAGGGTTTCCTAGAGAAAGGACCCACAGGCTGACTCCTGGAAGGAAGAGCAGGAGCTAGCTGAGTGAATGGGGTGAAGGGAAGGAAGAGGCATAAGAGGCATAGGGAACAGGATACAGATGGGAATAGCCTGGAGCAAGAGTCCTTTGAGCAACTGTGGGAAGTTCATTGAGGCTGGTGTTCAGGCTGCAGAGGTGGGCCCAAGAGTCCATCCAGAACAACCTTAGAAGTACTGTCAGGGAGTTGGGACTTTATGACAGCAGTGAAGACCTACCAGGTGCTTAGCTGCCTGCCTACTCCAGGAAAAATGAAAAGCCACCCAAGAAAGGAAGTTGTATGTTGTTTAACTTAGAGTTGAATAATAAATACATAATCTTAATAACATAAACATAAACTATTTAACCAGAAATTTATGACATTGGAAGGATGGGGGATAGGGATGACAGCTTCCTTAATAGGAAATAGCCACACATTATACAGAAAGATAAATGTAAATATCAGAGTAGCTCAAATAGTTGAAAGTGGTTGCTTCTGGAGAATCAAGAATGAGAAGAGTGGGAGACAGGACTACTGTTGTACTACTAGACTTGTAATATTTAGCCTTGTAAATACACTTTTTAGAAAGATAATTGTGTACCTATATTAATATTAAAAAATTTATTTTTTTAAAAATCTATGTGTTAACCCCACCTTCACCGCATAATAACCGAGTGACCGGGGCCAACTCTTTATGCTTTCTGTGGCTAAGTTTATTTACTTGTAAAATGGGATAATAACACTATCTTGCTATGTTATTATGAAGAGTAAAGGATATATGAAAAGTGTCTAGCACTGAGTCTGGAGCTTAATAGAAATTCAATAAATGGTAAGTATTTTCATTTTTAAAAAACAGACGGAAAACAGAACCAAAAAGCATGTCTAAAAGGCCTGGACACAAGCCTTCTATATTATATACACCTCTGGTCATAGGAACACACGCCCTTATTTAACAAAGACATGGCTATATTCATAAGGTATGGAAGAAAGAGAAGTTATAATTCTGATATCAGAAACCAAAAACTTTGACACAACATTGTAAAATGAATATAAATCAATAAAAAATGTTAAAAAAAAAAACCCAAAAACTAGTTAAATGTTTCAAAATCTAGAGGTATCCTCAAGCTTGAAAAAAATATTTGCAGAAACAAAAAGACAAAATAATGTCCTTTGATGAGTCTGCCTCCGAAAACAGGGATTTGCGACAACTTTTTCTGATTTGCGTGTACGTTTAAAATAAAAAGGTAACCCAGGATGATACAAGTGACAGTAACAGATTCACAGAGAAAGCTGGTTTCCCTGTGCCGTCTGGCTACCAGGGTTCTAGTCCCTTTCACTTCTTAGGCCCTCAGATTTTCCGATTGTATATGAAGGAGTCAAATAAAAAGGTCTCTAAGCCTAGTCCCAAATTCCAGTGTTCTGAGAATTCTTGGTTATGTGCTTTTGCCTTGGGACGTGGCAATAAACATACGACTCAGGTCTCTCACTAGCCTCCTAACACGGATGCATTTCCCTAACCTACCTCTGCCTAAAATAAAGTGTTTCCGAATCAGCAGCCCTTGGATTGGATCTCTCACTCCTGGCACCCAAAACCCGCCCTATAGCGGGAAACCCAAAGCGGCCCCGGCGGCTACCCCCAGAATGGGAACTACATCTCCCAGGGTGCCCCGGGGCAGGGGGCGCCCACTCGGATTGGCCAGGGGTCCGTGACGCTCAGTGTTTTGGCCCGGGCGGTCACATGTTTCCTTTGTTGTGAGCTGCGGAGAGACTGGTGGCTCGAAGAGACGCCGGCGCCAGAGAGAGCGCAGCGCCGCCGGCCGCTAAGGGACCGCGGGGGCCGCCGCAGCAGTCCACTACTGCTGGCCGTTTCCAGCCTTCGTGGAGAGGTACCCGGGGATGACAGCTCCGGGATCGGCCGAAAGACGAGCAACCGGCCAGAGCTGGGGGTGGAGGGTCGGCCGAGGTCCCGACCACGGGGGTGTCTGCAAGGGGGAAGCCATCGGCGGCCGGCCTCTCGGAGTCAGACGCGGGGTCTGAGGAGAGATTGCAATTGAGGCTGCCGGGCCCCTATCTGGGGCGAGGCGGTCTCCGGGGCCTCCCTGGGAGTCTTCAGCCCCGGTTCCGTAACCACACTCTGAAAGGAAGGGCACCCCCGCCTCCTGGCAATGCCGCCCCGGAACCGCGGCGCTGCTGGCGCACCCGCTGGGGGCGGGTTGGGAGGGGCATGGCCGCCGGGGCCGGGGGTAGCAGGTGTGGGTCACTCTGCCGCCTCGGGGACCCGGGCAGCTGGAGGACAGGGCTGGGGAGATGGATACCGCATGTTGCCGATGGGCTTCGAACGGGCCGCTGCTCTTTTTTTTTAATTGAAGGAAGGTCTGAGTATGCGAAAGTCTCAAATCAAGCCTTCCCTTTTGGTGGGAGAGACCGTTTAGTCCTGACGGGGAGGACTGACGGGGTCAAGGTGGGTCCCAGGGCTTGGGGCCAGAGAAGCCCCATTAAAGCGGTTGCGAAATATGCTGGGCGCTGTCACCTGACCGTTACGCCCGCCCCCACCGCCCGCGAACCTTTGTTTACCACCGCTCGCGGCGGGGCCCGCGCCGGGAGCCCGGCCCTGGAACGACAGTCCCCGGGGAGCTGAGGCGGGCGGGGGAGCGGGCGTTCCGCCGGCTGAGTCCCAGCCTAACCACCCCACCTTCCCACCACTCCAGGCCTCGGTTTCTTAATTTAGTTCCTAACGGCCCCGCCTCCAGGTTCTGTACAGTCTGTGCGAAAACTGTTAACACAGCGGGGATTGGGGGCCTGCGGCGGCTTGCAGGCGGGACGACGGGGCGAGCTTCGAGTGTTTATTGGCGGGTGTCTTGTCGCTAGGTGGACTTGCCCTAGCAGTTCTTCCCCGCCCCCTTGAAGGTGATCTGGAGGACGCGCGAGAGCGCGCGCTCGCCTCTCGCGCAGCTGCTGCCGGAGTGGAGCCGGCGGCGCGCGCTCCCGCTCTGGAGGATTCAAGCGCAAGGCCCAGCAGCCCGGACATCCTTTGGCGGACTCCGCGGCTTCTGCCTGAGTCTGTAGGCAGTTCTGGGGCCCGCAGGGGACCGCAGCCGCGGCCAGCCCTCGGAGGACCGGCAGATTAGCCCTCTTTAACTCGTGTGGCCTCATCTGCCCAGATAGTGGAAGAAAGTCCTCAGGCGAATTAGTTACTGCCTGTTCGGTAAACAAGGTTTAAATAGCTAAATAAGGCCTCTAACGCTGCATTTTAGAGTGCCTCACAGTCACCTCTGAGGCAGTGACTAGTAACAGTTCATTCTAGTGGATTTTAATAATTAATCACTTGCTCTCTTGAGCAGCCTTTTAAAATCGTGTCTTAATATTTGCAGTTACAGACTGTTTAGATCCACCAGATGAGGTTGGTTTTTATTAAATACGTAAAATAGATTAAAAATCTGCCTGCTGTCGACTAGGATGTAAAATTAGAATTGTATTTTTAAAAGAAATACCTTGAAGATATCCTAAAAAAAATAAGATTCTTATATACTCTGGTTTAGATGAGTTGTTTCCTTGTTTGAGGGGGTTATAGCTCACTCTTCTATGACAGTAACAAAATCTGTATGAACAATCATTTTAGTCATAGTGTGCTGAAGATTTTCCTAATCTCTTTAATAGGGTGCTTGGGTTTTATGAGATTTCCTTTTCCTTATAAATCTGTAAGTATTCATCCAAGACAATGCATCTCTGTAGCAGGTAGATTGTGCTCCCTGGCCGAAGCAGGAATTGAATATGAACAGTTCTCATTGGTTATGCATTCTTAATTTATTTTTAAAATTGAAGTTGGGATGACTACAGCAGAAGGAGCAATTTCTGTGATCCCGGACTGCCTCATCGCTTGTGCATTGAAGGCATATAGTGTTTCTAAATAAGTACAAGATGCAAACCTCTAACCTTTTAAAAAAAAAATAAAACCACTGCTCATAAGCCTGCTTATCCAGACAAAGACTGTGACTTGCAGTTATTTTTGTATATACTTTTCTCTTACCTAGGAATTTGGGACACTTTTTTTCAATAAATATTTAGGTATGGACTGTATAATGAAAAATATAAATAAAACATCCTCATAATGTATTCTTATAAATATGTGAAATATATAAGTATATACAAATTCTGTTTCTGTTGTGGCTGAAGCAGAGTATGTGGCTCCTTGACCACTGTTGACATTTTAAAACCCATATTCTTTCTCCTATTAAAAACGCAATAGCTAAAGTAGCTTTTTAAAATTAAACAATTTGTTACTCTTCCTAAATTCATTATCCAGGGGCTACAACTTTTCAGCATTTGGTACATCTTAAAGTCTACTAAACTGATGTTTAAAGGTGATTAGGCTTTGCTCTTTACTCAGTGGTTTCTAAAACTCACTTCTGTACATAATTTGTGTTACCACTAAGGTAAATAAAAATCACTGACTTACAAGTGCTTTTATACATAGGGAAGTCATCTAAAATACTAGATCTCAAACTTGTCAAGTGGCACAGAACTGGGTAGTGTTCTTGCATATTTAATTAATTCTAGTAAGAGAACCAAAACCAATTCTGCTAAAAGAAATGATACTATATTATATATCTATAGATCTTAAGATTTTAAAATAAAACAATGTATTAAATACCTAAAAGAAACATGTTTCTAGTAGGATGAAACCGAAGGACATTAAGTTTAGGTATCAAGTAGATTCAGTAGGGCTGCCTTATACCAGGTGTTAATTCTGATGATTAACTTTTTCTTCCTCTAGGGGTTGGGGAGTATTAGTAGCTAAAAGTTTTAAAGCAAGGGAGAGAAACACTGAATGGAGAAATTCAAAATTTCTGTTCTGAGATTTAGGAGAAGACATTCTTTTTTTACTTATAGAACCATAATAATTTAGTCTGACACATAGTTTAAGCACTCCTAAATTTTCATTGTCAGATGCCTCTTATTTCTTTTTCTCATTAATCAAAGTAATAATATATTGACTATTTGAGGTTCTAGTAAACAAGGGATAATCACTTGCTGTAATTCTAGACAAATTTAAAGTTTTTGATATCTTGTGGATGAGTATGTTCCTGGTGGTTTCATTAAAAAATTAGAAATACTGAAAATAGCAGCTTGAAGACTGGACTTTAAATATTACATTTGTAAAATTTGGCTTGGGAACCACTACTCCAAAAGTTAAGGTTTAAATTGAAAATTGAAGAGTATAAATTTACCATTTTTTTAAAGTGGTCATTAAATAGAATGATTCAGATAAATCAGCTTTTGAGAAAATGGGGTGAAAATGTCTGAAATTTATTTTTTAAACTGCTTGATTTCAGATAATTCCATGTTAAATATAATTTTCTAGTTATTTTTAAATAATAGGTTTAATATGTTACAATTGTTTTCTGACTTCTTTGGAGTTACTGTATATCTTTTAAGATAAACCTCTTCTTGATTAGTCTTTTTGCTCTTTCTGCTATGTTCTTCAAAGTTCAGTTTGAGAAAATGGAGTAGTGTAGAGCATAGCATGTGGCAGTTCATTACTGAAAGTTGTAGGGACCATGTTAGTCAAAATGTTGGTTTCCTTTGCTATCTGGTTTTTATTAGTCTTTATAAGCCCTTCACTAATGCATACTATCTTTAAGGCTGATAGTAACTACTTTCTTTATATAGGGTTCCTGCATTCTAAAGGAAAAATAAGCTTGATTGCAGTGCAACTACACTTTAAGATCAATTCTGACATTATATATCTCCTTTGGACTTTGTACTCTGACCTTCTCTGTCCCTTGCCCTTACCTATTAGGTTGGTGAGTATTACCTAAAAACCCTGCAGAAAATGCCCAGGTGAATTGCCTTGTCCTTCTACTCCTTAAGGTTTAATTCTAGACTAGATCAGTCATGAGAGAATCTATTCCAGTTTGCACCTGTGTTTTCTGCTAGAGAAACACTGAGAATTTGAATCTATTTTAGTATCAATCTTGAAGTTCTTGTTTGAGTCTAATCTTAACCAACCCCACAGAGTCTAAAATTGGATCTGAATCCAGTATTTGCCACCCCAGTGTGAGACAGAGAGTAGGCTCTCTAGAATTGTTTCTTGATTGACCTGAACCCCTGCATAGGCTCAGGATCTTACTGTTTTATTGCGAAGAAACACTTAACTTAGCTAGGACTAACAATTCCTCAATTTGACCACGTTGAAATATTCTTTACCAAGCTAGATTGACTTCTGCAAATAAGGAAATAAGCAAGATAACGTTCACTTCACAATCAAAGCAGAAAGGGTTGTAGAGATATGTGTTTGTATATACACGTAGAAAAAAATCAGTAGTCCATATCTTGGCTTTCCGAATCAACTTTTGAATTCGACTAAACTTGTTAGATTTATGAATTCTATTTATAGATGTCTAGGCCAGAAACCAGAACCACTTGTGTTTAAATACTGTTGGTATTCTGTGCACAGTTCAAGGTTCTAGTATTCTCCTTTAAGCATTCCTCTCCCCTTCCACCAAGGGAAAAAAAAGGTGCTGAATTGGTTGGTTTCTACAACCCTATAAGGATCAACAAAACAGAAGAAATATGCATTTATATTCTAAAAGATTTAAACAGGGAACGATATTCAATATCTTTTAATAGCCTTTAATGAAAAAAGAATATGAAAACAAACATATGTATGTATAAGCATGACTGGGACATTGTGCTGTACACCAGAAATTGACACATTGTAATTGTACTTCAATTTAAAAAATTATTATTATTGTTATTATTTGATAAGCATGGTGACTCTATATGGATAATCTGGATAACTAAGAATTAAAAACTGGAATTTTGGGGAGAATTTCTCGAGTTGATTTCATAGTTATATAAAATATAATGACTGAACAGTTTGCTTTTGGTAATATTGATAGACCAACTCAGAATTATTTAATGGCCCCAAACTCAGATGAGGCATCAGTTACCAGACACTCTTCAAATATCCATTGCAGAATTATCATAGGATATATGTTTTTAATGCCACCATTAGCTTGCTGTTGACATGAATATTTGTTTACTCATCTTTCACTCAGGAAACCTTACTGCAGGATAAAATCATCAAGTAAGGGAGTTGATAATGAAACTGATTAAGATATAAAATAGCATAAAATTATTAATTTGCTTTAAGAAATTGTTATTCAGTATTGGTTGTCTATGCAAAAGTAAACTTCTAGTCAGAAACTGAAATTTAAAACTTTTCAACATGTTAGTAACTAATGCTAATTACACATGAAGTGATTACTACCTGATTTATATGTTGATGTTCTCCATTTATTTTAGGTGTGGAAAAACTAGGGCTTTGATCAAGCAAATGCTGAAAAGGTACTATATTTATAGTATTTATAAACTCTCTAAACATTAGAAAATACAAGTCATTTTCCTTTAACCAGGGATCACTTATGCCATCGGAGGAACAGGGAACAATTCTATTCTCAAGATCATGTAGAAAGGCAGCACCACAGACATTTCTGTTACCAAACAAAGCATTTACACACTCCTTTCTACTCCTCTCGAATATCCTCCATCCCTCTTCTACCTTTTTCTCCATTCTTAGAGACAGTAAAGGAAGTAAGTTATCTCCACTCATTTTTTCTGGGACATGGGCCAAAAACATGTAATTTTCAATCTACTTAGCAATGAGAAATTAGGTCTATAACATTTATGAGTTCCGCAGTTGGAAATAAACCCTAGAGTACCCTTAACTAGAAGAATTTTTCTCTTAAAAATCTTCCTTTCAAATGAGAGTTTAGCTCCTGAAGAAAATGAGGGAGAGAAAGGGATACTAACTTTTCTAGGCAAGTCATGTGACTTTGGCAGTCAGTCATTCAGAGTCTGGTCACCCTTGAATCCAATAACTTATATAGTTATAACTTTTAGTCATTATATTTCTTTGGAACAAATGTTTTCTCTTGTCCAGAGAAGCCTACTTAGTTGCTGTTTTTTTCCTGATAGGAATAATGATGCTTTGATATTTGCTAAATTTTTAGAAGAATTCAGTCTGTAATTTTATGTTTCATTTGCTTGATTGTTTATGAGTTCATTTATGGTAAATCTTAAACCTATATTAGATGCTGTACTTTGAGATGTGGTTAAGTGTGTCTTTAAATTTTTAACCATTACTAGTTGAAATAAAATACTTTGTGTAAAATGGGAAAATACAGTCTAGTGAATTACACCTGGAAGCCCAAAAGATACACTCTAAAATGCATCTCCTATTCCTGATAAACTCCTGTGCAACTCATTTATTTTGTCATCAATATGAAGAGTTTATATTTCGTGCTGTTGTGAACTGCTTAATAGGAGAGTTCTCAGAAAGACCAGGCTATCCAAAAAGCCAGGCAAAAGTGGTTTGGAAGGAAATAGCCCAGATCTGTGAGACAGCCTCTTTTATGTACAAAGCAGTAAACAAATATCTTGTTGCTGTTGAATATTTTGTAACAGCAGGTGATTTTATAGCTGTTCTTATTCAAGATTTTCCATTCTACATTGGGTAAAGCAGTTAGAGACCTGTCAGTTAACAATCAAGGAAAATAGCCATGAGAATTAAGGGGCAGAAAACAGCATAAAAACCCTTAACTCATATAAAATTTTAATCAACCTTACTATTACAACTCATTCAATATGCTATCCCCAAATTTATCAAATACAATGAGATAACAGATAACAAATACCAGATACAGTAAGATTATTGGATATAGAAAGCAGAGTACTTTTCATTTGTTTTCTTACTTGTCCCTTTTAGCTAAAAGGGAAATTCTTAGTACTTGCAGTATGTTATTTTGTTTTGCAGTCTGAATAAATTTTCATTTAAACATTAAGAAAACAAAAATGTATGGAGGCAGAAGGCTCAAGATTTTTGTCGTTAATGCCAGTAATTATTTCACTAGTCAAAAACAATGGTTTGAATTTTTTAAATCTGAAATGCAATAAGAATTTAAGTTAAATAAGCTGATTTGAAGAATAAGTTCTTGACTTGGGAAGCTGATTTGTGACTAATTCAACTATATTTTGAATTTAGATTAAAGCTTTAAGATTAAAATATGAGTTATATGTCATACCACAGTTTATATTTATTATAATTGAATATTTATCACTTGCAACATTACCCGCTTTGAACTTTTTACAGTTTCAATAATAAAAAATTGACATTCAAGCACAGTAGTCATGTGTCTTCTATGGGAGGTAGATGTCTATAAAATGAACTGTTATTGAGATAATAACTTCAGATTAAAAGCATATTTGAGATTTGTGCTACTTCCTGTATACAGAAGCTTGGAATTTGAAAGTGCGTATATGTACATTATAAGTGAGTTTTTTTAATTTCACCCATACATGTGTTCATGTGCTTGCGGACATGCACACGTATGCATGGACAGCCTTAACCCAAGAAATTGGATAACCTGCAAGGAGACAAATAAATCACTTAATACTTTGGCATATGTGACTCCTTTGTTCTGTGCCTAGATGCACTGATACTTAAATTTTTCTCTTTTCTTTGCAAATGTTTTGATACCTGCTTTTCACTTACTGTCTGGTTAATACTTCCCCGTGTCATTAAACAGTCTATATAATTTTTAATGGCCGCATAGACTATGTTCCATCATTATATACACTTGATTTAATCTCCTATTGTTGGGTATTTAGGATGTTTTAAGTATTTTCTATTAATACAGCATTGAATATTTGTAGATAAATCTTTCCATATGATCCTGATTATTTCCTTAGGATAGATTGCTAGAAAGGGATTTGCTCGGTCAAAACACATACATATTTTTAAAAGCCATTAATGGATGTACCCGAATTCTTCTCTAGCAACACACTATTTTAAGATAATAAACATTTATATTAGGATTCTGAATATAATCAAGTTCTGTGTCTTATAGCATTCTGACTTAACTCTACATTCAGTAGTTGAAACCCATTTGTATAAAGGGGAAACTTAAGGTTATCAGTAATTCACAAAGTACATAGTATCCTTTCAACTGGCGGGGTGGTGGTTTAAAGAGTACTATTGCAAATTACCTCTAATATTCTAATTGTATAAATTTTTATTCATCAATTTTTATTAAGATGAGATAGTACTCTATACCCTGTATGAAATATATTAATTATGTGATTTTGTTATACTGTTTACATCAAAATGAAATTATATAATTTTACTGAACATTTTACATATTGAAATGTTTTAATTTTTTTTAATTTTTAGCCACATAAAGAAGATCCACAACAGTTATTTCTCAACAATTATATAGTCAACTGATGTAACAATGGTACTAATATTGGGACGAAGACTAAACAGAGAGGATCTCGGGGTGCGTGATTCACCAGCAACAAAGCGTAAAGTTTTTGAAATGGACCCTAAATCTCTGACAGGCCGTGAGTTTTTTGACTTCTCTTCAGGATCATCCCATGCTGAAAACATACTTCAGATATTTAATGAATTCCGAGATAGCCGCTTATTCACAGATGTTATCATTTGTGTGGAAGGAAAAGAATTTCCTTGCCATAGAGCTGTTCTCTCAGCCTGTAGTAGCTACTTCAGAGCTATGTTTTGTAATGACCACAGGGAAAGCCGAGAAATGTTGGTTGAGATCAATGGTATTTTAGCTGAAGCTATGGAATGTTTTTTGCAGTATGTTTATACTGGAAAGGTGAAGATTACTACAGAGAATGTACAGTATCTCTTTGAAACATCAAGCCTTTTTCAGATTAGTGTTCTCCGTGATGCATGTGCCAAGTTCTTAGAGGAGCAACTTGATCCTTGTAATTGCTTAGGGATCCAGCGCTTTGCTGATACCCATTCCCTCAAAACACTCTTCACAAAATGCAAGAATTTTGCATTGCAGACTTTTGAGGATGTGTCCCAGCATGAAGAATTTCTTGAGCTTGACAAAGATGAACTTATTGATTATATTTGTAGCGATGAACTTGTTATTGGTAAAGAGGAAATGGTTTTTGAAGCAGTCATGCGTTGGGTCTACCGTGCTGTTGATCTGAGAAGACCATTGTTACATGAGCTCCTGACACATGTGAGACTCCCTCTGTTGCATCCCAACTACTTCGTTCAGACAGTTGAGGTGGACCAGTTGATCCAGAATTCTCCTGAGTGTTATCAGTTGTTGCATGAAGCAAGACGGTACCACATACTTGGGAATGAAATGATGTCCCCAAGGACTAGGCCACGCAGGTGAGAAGACTGTTTATAAATTAACTACAACATAATTAACAAAAGCTTTCGTTTTTAAAATATTTTAAAACCTCCTGAGTATAATCTCAGTGTAGTCATTTATATGTATCGTCTACATGTGACTTTATATAATTTAAGATTTGTTTTAGATTATAAATTATTAGCATTTCTCTCCCAGTGAAGACTCGATTCAACAGTAGCATGTTTTGTTACTGTTTTTCTGAGCTATAAGAGGGTATTTCAAAGGATCTTTGCAACTATGCATTTTTCAAACTATTTCTTCTAATTTTTCCTAACCTTTATAGGGTCCCAAATCATTCCACTTTTCTTTCCGAAGGGTCTTTGGATATAAAGGAACTAAAGATTTTATTAGACTCTGCTGGACTGCCTCTACTTATAAAAAGCAATTTGCACATTCACAGACTAACCTTTTTCCTAACCAACAACATGAAATATAGAGGTGAAGTAAGTAAGCTGGTATAGACTGAGTGGATCCTAAGATGTAAAACCCAGGTTTCAGATCTTTCTTACTGCCACAGTTACTGGATTTAAAAAGCCTATAGATTTTAATTCATAAGCTATAGAAAAATAATCTCTATGCCTTAGTAATAGAAGGAGTAATAGTAAACATTTTCTTGTAAGCAAAAAATGGCTATTGTGAGAAATATTATAGTAAGGAATCTTAAATATCTTTCTAACAAAACTGACTTTTTGTGTTTGTGGTAAAAAACACGTAACAAAATTTACCATCCTAACCCTTTTTAAGTGTACTGTTTAGTAGTGTTAAATATATTCACATTGTTGTGAAACTGATGTTTATTTTCCCACACAATCTCTACTTTTCCTATAAATTTACTGTAGCATTGCTCTCAAACCACATTTTTAACGTTGATTTTGATTATCATTATTTTGGAGTGTGATTAAAATTCAGCATATTGTGAGATAGCATGTCTTTAAAACGTACACTAGTTTGGATAAAGTAAAATTTAATCCATTTCCTCATATGTAAAATGAGAATGATAAATAGTAACTTACTTCATTATGGTTTTGCCATTGAAACTATTAAATCCAATAATCCTTAAGGTGCTCGGCTTTAATCCCTCTTGAAACTCTTCCATTAGCTTCTGGGATACCATTTCCCTCATGGTCCCCTTCTCCAGCTACTCTTTTTCAATTCAATGGTTCTTTATCTAGTCTTTGAAATGTTGATATTCACTTTGGTTCACATCTCTTTGACTTGCCTAATACTTTCCTAGATGATCTCATCTGTTCTCCTGGTTTTGATTATTGTGCATGCTATTGACTGTCAAACCTCTGTCTCCAGCCCTGACTTTTTCATTCATTCATTCATTCATTCATTCAGCCAATGGTTTTTTTAAGATTATATTTATATATATGCACACATATATACACACATACTTTATATATATAATGTATATAAATATATATAGTAGATGCATCTTTAAAACAGTAACATAGTCAAAATAATATCTCAAAGTTAAGAATAATTCTTTCATATTATTTAATATTCAATCCATATTCGTATTTCCCCAATCTTTTCCTAACTGTTCTTTGATGAATCTGGATCCAGTACAGGACCACTCATTGCATCTGGTTATTTCCATGAAGTCTCTCATTCCAAAACAGTTTCTTTTTCACGATTCTGACTTGTTGATGGGCATGTTGTCCAGGAAAATATCCCACCTTCTGTATTAGTCTGTTTACTTCATTATGCTGTCACTTAGCTGCATTAAGCTATGTATCCTGAAAACAAAGTTAGCTCGACAAGCTTCAGGTCAATGGAGACAAGTTAAATATTTTTGGCTAGAATTCATTCTAGGTAATGTAAGTATCTCATTGCATCACATTAGGAGATACAGCATATCTGATTGTTACACTACTAGTGATGCAAAGATTAGCTCTGGATTAGGGCAGTGACAGTCTGATCCCACCACTGTACAGTTGAGTTATAGTCCTCACATCATCCAGTGTTTCTTTAGTGTTTATCCTGTGCCAGATATTCTCCAGAGTTCAGTTCATACTGGGTAGTGTACCTATACATACCCATGTGTCTCTTAAATGACAGAGAAAACCCCAAGGTACATTATATTAAAAACAGTGTGATGGCAATTTCCTAGAAAGGGGATATATTATAGGATGTAAGACCATGAAAGCTTTAATAATCTGCTTTGCCAGTTGTAAACCTTAGATACATAAAGAAAAAATAGTGGAGACCAGTCACAGAAGAAGTAAAGTTTAGGAATACTTGTCTTTTTATTAATATATATTATTGCAACTTTAAATCTCTATACTAATGTATAATACTGTTTTTAATAAACAAAGTGCAAGCCTCATGTTGTCTTGAGTACTGGCTTCAGAATCAGATAGGCCTAGACTAGAATCTGGCTCTATGTAACTAGTTAATTCTTTGACCTTGGGAGCACTTTAACTTCTCTATGTGTCAGTTTCTTAATCTGTAAAATAAGCATAATACCATATACCTTGTAAGATTGTTGTGAGGGTTAGAAATACCATGTGAAAAATGCATAACCTAGTATTTGACACAAAAATGCTTAATAAAAATTATTGCTGGTTTCATGGATAATCAAAATACATTTAAATTTTTGCTATCCTTTTACAGAATGGGAAATGTGGTTTGAGAGACAGAAATGTTAGCTATCAAATGGTTAATTTTAAGCATGAATTGTTCGTATCTATGGAAAAAAATCTTTGCCACACTCCATTAAGCAATAGAGTTGGCTAGGATTTAATAAGTTAATCATTTTGAGTTTAATTGAATTGGTTAAGTACTTGTCTTTCCTAATACTTTCTACTACCGCTTATGATAATAATCTGTTACTATATAATGAAAATAGGAACCTAATTGCCATAATGAGGACAAGGTTCAAGTTGCTATTGAATAAATCAATGAGAAGACTAAGGTTAAGATTTTTTAAGAAATAATATTTTAGAACTCAGTGTTCTGAATTTTTGTTTCAGTCCTTCTTAAGAGTGTTAATCTCCTATATCATCGGATGCGTGGTTTACCATTTTTACACATGTTAGTTCATTATTATTTTGAACTCATTTTTACATAAAAGTACTATATACATGTAAATCTTCCTCTGCCTAACCCTTGGTATGTCAGTTCTCGTTCCCAAAGGATACCTCCCTGTTACATTCTTTGCATATATAAGTGGGTGGATGGGTGGGTGTGTGTGTACGTGTGTACACACGTATACATCCCCACTGTTCTTTATATAGATGGTAGTATACTTTACTCACAGTCTGCATCTTGTCTTTAATCACTTAAAAGTATCTTGGAGATTGTTCTATATCAGCACATATAGGTTTTCATTCTTTTATTTTTTTTGCTCTTTATTATGGAAAATTTCAAATTCATTGTTTTTTAAAAGATGTATAGTACCCCACATATAGGTGCCATCATTTATTTAATCCATCTCTTAATGATGGACGTTTAGGTTGTTTCCAGATTTTTTCATTGCGGATAATGCTCAGTGAATATTCTTGTACGTATGTCTGATAATTTATAGCATGAATTACTAGAAGTGGAATTGCTCAGTCATAGGATATGTGCATTTTAAATTTTGGTAGATGTTGTAAAAATTGCCCTTCAGTTTTATACTTCATTCAAAAATATGAATATCCTTATTTCTCTGCTGCTTTGCTGACACAGCGCATCATTATTTTTGTAAATCTTTCTGGAAAGTGAAGTGGCATCTCATAATTTTAATGTGCATTTCTTTAATGTGGAAGGTTGAGCATCTTTTCCTGAGTTGGAAAACCATTTGTAGGTTGTTTTTTTCCTGCAATTCATTGAACTCTAGTATATCAGAATTCTGATTGCAAGTAATTAAAACCAGCTCATCAGTGTAAGCATAGAAGGGAGATAAGTGTGTTTAAAGGGTACAGGAAGTCATTATCTTGAAGAACCTAAGGGCAGAAATTCAACAGGACTTCCAAGAAGACTAGAATAGGCTACTGAAAAGCCATCAGAAACCAAGCTGTGCCCTCTCTCTACCTCCTGCCTCTGCTTTTCTCTGCATATCTGCATCATTCTCTCTCACTAGTCAGGCTGAATATAGCCACTCATGGGTATGGGGGTCTCTATATTACAAGTTCAGTCACTCAGGGAGATAAAATCTCTCCCTCTCCTGTAGGGAGATAATCTCTGATTCAGCTAGACAACCTTCTCGGGACAGTTACCTCTGGCCAGGGAGCAGGATCATGTAGCAGAAAAGTAGTAGCTGAAATTCTTGTCCCATATGTAAGAGCAGACAACCCAGTAGTGTCTATTAATACTAAGATATGTTTTTTTTCCTTTATTCTTTCATACCTTGAGGTAAAGAGGAGGGGATAGAGTGATTTATGGTTAATTGGAGATAAAAAATAACACCTATATTCCTATCTCCAAGAGGTAACACTGTGGCACTTGACTTCATTCTTCTCTTTTATTGTCTACGAACTTACTATTTCTTTCACAGAGTTGTAATCTATTTCATAGTCTGCTGTTACGGTAAACGTATTTTGTTGACATGAAGCTACAGTATAGCATATAACCATCCCACCCACATTTAAACTCTTCCTGATTTTTTACTAGTAAGTGAGATGAAGACCTTTGTGGCTATTTAAACATATCTGTGATTAGTTCCTGATAATAAATTCTTAGTTAACTGCTGATTTTCAAGAGTAAACATTTTGAATCTTTGGATCAGTATAGCCATTTCCTTATAGAACCCATTCTGCCTGTTCAGTTTCAGGTGGAAAGCCTTACCACACAAGTTGAAACTTGTCCTTACAAAGTTTACAAAGCCATAAGGTTTGTGGCTGGCATAGCCTCTTAAGGGGTCATTTATAATGATGAACCATGATCCAGTGATTCCTCTAGGCTCAGAAACTTTTTTTTTTTTGCTACAGTAAGAATAGATCAGACTATTAAGGGCAGATTAGGGGCAGATTTAATGTTAATTATGAGAGACCGATTAACTTATCTTTTAGTTTATATAATTTATTTACAATAAGAAATGGAACTGTCAAAAAGACTAGATATTAGGTCAACCTGTCCAGCATATTCTCTTACTATGAGCAAGTCACCAGTTGGGAAGCCAGAGTTTTCAAAGGTTGTTTGGCAAGAATGGAATCCAAACAGAGGGAGCTAGGAGATCTTTAGAACTGGAGTCCTCTCAGCTAGTATAGCTTGAGAAGGTCTCACCCACCATAAAATATTCTTACCGAAGAAATAGTAATGTTCAAGTTAGCTTAGCCAAGGTTTTTTTCCTTTAGACAGTAACTTGAATGGACACAAGAAATGTGTCTGTGATTATTTATTTACTCTTTCAGTCATTTGTTCATTCACTTATGTATTGCTGCTAGGGCTGACCAAGCCCCTCTTTTGATATATACTTAATACATGGAGTTTAATAACTGTCACATCCTGCAGAGTAGAGAGCTATTCAGTCTCTTTAGGACTTAAAAGTCTCATATCTCTGTTTGAGTTCATTATTTTGGTTTAATGGCTTAGTTTTCAGATATTTTTGAGTCTTGGAATGATAAATAGACTATATCACTAACACCTCTCCTTTTTCCCTTCCAACTTCTCACTATATGGAAACATGTCTTATTGTGTTTTTTTTTAATATATTCAGTTATTTTTCTTATTAACCAGAATCACCTTTTGACCCCTTTTTGTTGATAAAAGTTAGTTTGGCAGTTCATCTCTCTCTGGCATATTTGGCATTGATGATAAGAAGGTCTGTTTTCAGCTAGCAAGTCATGCATTTTACCTTTTGAGATTCTTAACTGAACCTGGTAATTGCTATACAGTTTGTTGATTTGGTTTAGAATATCCTGTGGAGTTATAATTATTTTATCTTTTACATAAATCGAAGACTGTGATCTTTGATCTTTTCTCAAATTTATGATAAAAGAGAATGATGACTTTCTTTAAATGTTTACCATTGTAGAAAAAAGATAATTTGCTTGTCACACTTTCCTGGGAACAAATGATGAGACTTACGCTAAAGCAGCAAATATTTTTCATTTTGTAATAGTGGAAAATCATAATTTTTACTTTAAGAGATTAATAAAATAAAGTAACATTCACTCTGAAAAATAGATTACATAGGTATTCAGAATTTTATTCATTCTATAGTATCATCTTGGCTGCCTTTTTATTCTGGTCACCATTATCAGTTACAGCAACTCACTTCCTTTAAGACAATCATTTTCCTGCCTGAGATAAGTATTTTTCTAAGCTCAAGAAATAGAAATAACAATTTTATTGAATTAGTCTCTAATGAGAACACCAGACTATTCTCTAATTAAGTTAAAAGCCATTTCATTGCAAATAAGACCTTCAGCAGAGGAAAAACTACTAGTTTGCTGATCCTTTCAGATAAATACACATAGCCTTTATTTAGTGGGACTAAATGTTTTAGCTGTTAGCTTTTTGTGCTGTTTTCTCTTCTTGTTCCAAGGTACAAAACAGATAGTATATGTTCATTGGGCTAAAAAAAGTCTTGAAAAAAGCAAGCAAGCAAGTTCAAGCAAAGGGAAAGTATAAAACAAGTAAAATGCTATAAATAAAGTATAAAACAAAATTCTATCAAAGCTCTATGTAGTAATTACCTTGATTTTCTATTAAAACAATTAGGAGTGATTAAACCCCAGTGACATTATTTAGCAATTTTTGGTTTTGTTCAATTAATAGATAAGACTCTGAAAGCTATCACCTGGGTTTGTTTTAGAAGTATTTTAAGTGAGATTTTAGGAAATAATACTTCTACAGAAAGGAGGATAAATTAGTTATACTACTAAGCGTCTGGTGCTATCCACTATTTACTTTTAATATTTTCATTTTGGAATTATTTTGAAAATAATATTATTGATGATATTTGAGTCCTTCTGTTTTACTCTATGATGAGTTAGGATTATATAATTTGCTGGGTTCCTAAAAGTAATTTTTGTTGCTTCTGTGAACAAAATTCTTTTCTACAATATGTATTTCTGATTTTATAAAGGAAAAGGTATGCCTGGCATGGACCAGGTGAATGATCGTTAGTTGGAATAGCTGCGATGAAGTGTAGTATAGCAGCTCTGTTAAAGGGATACAGCAATGTTGGTTAATTTTGTTTTTTTCTAGTGTAGTTATAAACTGTCACATTGACTAAAGCTACAAATCAGTTTTCTGATGTGGTCTTTTTGCTCTCCCCATTTAAGTAAGAGACGGGGGATTATTATGTTTGTCTTTGAGGGACTTAAAATTGTAGCAGCCATAAAACACAATTATAAGACTTTTTCATTTCCATGAGTCTTATGAACAAAAAGAAAAGGCTGGGATAGCTTTTGGTTTTTCCTGTCTCTATCTTAAATTTAAAGTACAAAGTAAAAGAAGCCAGTGATTAACATAAACCTTAGTATTCCCTTAGTGCTCTTAAAAGTTGTCTTTTTCACTCTAAAAGTAGTCCATCATCATTTTGAAAATTTGTGTTGATAGAAAGGAGGAAGCCACATTTCAGAGAAAACTGTCATTAGGATTTTGGTATGTTCTCTCCAGACACATTACTTACATACTATTGATCAGACCTTCTCTACAATTTTTCATCTTGCTTTTTTCCTTTACTATTCTTTGTTATAAACTCTATTAACATTTTTAGTGACCACCCAACATTTTGTTTTTAGAATTTTAAATAATTTTGAGTGTATTTTAATTTATTATTTGTGCATTCTTATAATAATTATTTTAGGTCAACTGGCTATTCTGAGGTGATAGTTGTCGTTGGAGGCTGTGAACGAGTTGGAGGATTTAATCTTCCCTACACTGAGTGTTATGATCCTGTGACAGGAGAGTGGAAGTCTTTGGCTAAGCTTCCAGAATTTACCAAATCAGAGTATGCGGTCTGTGCTCTAAGGAATGACATTCTTGTTTCAGGTAAATAAAGAATTATTACAGTAGCTGCTTTTAATTTAAACACAGCTCGGCTATTTTAAACCATAACAGTGTCTCAAAAGGAAACAATGAAAGTGGATATACCCACTCTAGGTAGATCAGATTATACAACAGATGACTTTTTGTCCTTAAAAACAGGCACAGGATGATGCAGAATGATTTCAAAAGATTCATCAGAAAATGCCTTAAACCATGCCATATTTTAAGTGCTCTCAAATGCATACAGAATATGGCATAATTTTTTAAAGTTTTACTTGTTTATTTTAAGGAACAGTAAAGTGTGCAAAGTGAAAAGTACTCAGAATTAAGCATCTCCACCCATGTTTACTGAAATTCTCCCCAAAGTTTATGAAATAGAAATTTCCTTAAAATTCTTAACTTAAACTTTTTTTTTTACAATATGTAATGTTACCTCTAAAATCAAATAGATAGTAAAGTGACAGACTTATATAAAGTATAACTACAGTATCCATGGTCTGAAATTTGTTAATTAGTTAAATAATTTTACCAGCTTTGCAGATTACTATTTTACTACACGTTGAACCACTGTATAATAGTATGCTTTTAAAAAAATGGATGGTTTTTAAAATTTTTTCTAGAATAATTCTGTTGTTTGGGTGCTTCTCTTGTTTGACTCCTAAATGAAAACTCTCATGTACTTGTAAAATTCATAATCTGCCTTTTATTATTTGGGGCATAAAATTATTTCTTGAGATAACAGCTGACAAAGTTAAATCTGCCATTTAGCTTTAAGAGGGTCCTTGCTTAATTTATTCGAGTTGAACCCTCGAATTCTTGGCTGGATGAATAAATAATTGTTTTCATTATCTATACCTTTGGCATAGATCCCTTGGTGGTATACATATTAGTGTATGTGCATTGCTTTGCATTTAAAGGTGGAAGAATCAATGGCCGTGATGTCTGGATTTATAACTCGCAGTTAAATATTTGGATCAGAGTTGCTTCTCTAAATAAAGGCCGATGGCGTCACAAAATGGCTGTCCTCCTTGGTAAAGTAAGAGAAACCACTTTTTATTCTTATTACTGGTACATGTCCAGAATAAATACCACAGATGAATCCTTCATTTTACTCACCCTCTGGGTGTTTTGGATTCAGACTGTATTTCCTTCCATTTCTAACCTCAGTACATAAACTGAAGATATAAACAGTTTGACACTGTACTTTTGAATGGATATTTTGTTCTCCCAATTTGGAATTCATAGCAGTGCAGCACATTTCTCTTCTCATGCACCACTGGAGTCTAAATGCCTGAGAAGCATTGGAAAATGAAGGAGTTACATCAAGTACAAAAACAAGCCAATGTCTAATCCAAGCAGTCTTTTTCCTTTTACTGACTTTGGCAGTCAGGCCAAGATATATTTATCTAGAGTGATGTTATTTTATCTTATTTATTTGTACAGGTAGGGACAAAACAAGTAAGTGTTAAGATAAACTCACCAACATAATTTAAAGCAAACTTCTTATTGGCTGCAGCTAATGAATATTTAAAAAACCAATAATTTGATTCTGAACCCATTCACTGTTCTCACAAACTTGAGAATCACTTGTGGACTAGTGGCTTCCAAACTTTTTAAGAGCAACTACACCCTTCTTTGAAGTTAAATCTAATATAAAAAGCCTTACATAAAACAGATAAAAATACAGCAGTGTACCAAGGGCTAACTTGGACTCTTTAACCTTTCCGTGCCTCCATCTGTATCAACTCCTTCAAAGCCATCTCAAAATTAATGAGCAATCTAAGTGAAAACAGCACACTTGCTTGCACATTTTTTTTTTGGAGTATAGCTGATTTACAGTATTGTGTTAGTTCTAAGTGTACAGGTTAGTGATTCATATTTTAGGGCTTTGTTTGTTCATTTGTTATATTCCAGTATTGGTTATCACAAGATACTGGGTGTATCCCACATATATTTTTGACCAGTCCCCTAGTACCCCCTTCTAAAAACTTTGCTGCTTCTTAAGTCCTCCCATGAAGACATTTTAGAGCCACCAGTGAGAAAGCAGAACTGCTCTTGTTGAAACAGATGATGCCAGGAATCCTTCCCACTGAGCCTTCTATCAGTTCTCATTCCCTCCCCTTGCCCCCAACAGAAGCTTCTTGAAATCTCTATTCCATAGAATACTAAAGTACAGTTTGAAAGCTACTGTTAATTCCTAAGGGTATTGATCTAGTGTGCTGCTGCTGGCGACAACACCAGTGAAATAATGAAGACCTTGAGATAGATGTAATGGAAATAAAATACTAATACAGAATATTTTCTAAAAACCACTGGTTTGTTAGTACCTACTATATTATATATGGTTTTGGTAGCTATACCTCAAGAATGACAAAATACTACTGGACAGGGACAGCTAAAATAATTAAGGGGTTAGAAAGAGATGAAGTCTGACTAAAAACATTATAGTCATTTTATCTGGACATACAAAGGCAAATTAAAATCACTGATGTCTCAAATATCATAAATGGATTGATGAACACAAATTTATTTGACAAATATTAGTATTTTTGACTTGAATATACCCAAAACCAGGAAGCACTAACTCAAGAAATAAAGGGAATCCTTCCTGCCTTACATAGCAAGTACTCAATTCATGGAAAACTGTTATCCGAAAAATTACAGTATAGTCTGAATTCAAACCTATAAAGTCATTTAAAGTTATAAATGCTCTCTGTCAGGGAAACATAGGATGGTTTGGAATATAGTCAGAGCAAGAAGGAATCTTAGAGAATGCTTAATGTAACTTTTTCGGTTTACAAAGAAACTGAGTCCAGAGAGATCAAGTCGTTTGCCCAGTGTTGCACAGAAAGTGATAAAGCATGGGCCAAAGCTCAGGTTTTCTTAATCTAGAGGCCTTTTATCTTGAGACTCACAGCATATATTTTTAGTTTCTTCATGCAGAGAAGTAGTATTAAAGTTTAATCCTCAAAATTACATTGTATGGTAGGTACTATTATTGTCTACATTTTTAAATTGAGGAAGTTAAGACTGAGTCAGAGAGGATAGGTAAACTGCCCGAGCAGGGTCTTAACTTGAGTGGCAGAGCTAGATATGGACCCTGCCTCTCCTGACTTCAAAGCTACACACTTATTGGTACGTTGTACCACAGTTTCCATACCCCTTCTAGCTGCGTGACCTTGAGTAAGCTACTTAACTTCTCTAAGATGCATGATGTTGGGAGAACAGACCCACCAACTGATTGTTTTAAAATAATGTGAGAAATGCAAGATTGAAATAGCTTTGGCTGCTGAGGAAATTTGGAAGAGCATGGAAAGATAGATTGTGGACAGACTTGAATGATAGTGTGTAAAGTTTGGCCTTGACCCTTAGGCATTCACTGTTGAACTATTAAAAGGAGTTGATGAAGTTTTAGAAAGATTAATCTGTGGTTTAGAGAGTGAGTACAAGAGTGGAGGCCAAGAGCTTGAGAAGTATGAAATGATATGGACCCCAAGGTAGGATAGTGGCAATGGGAAACAAAAGGAAGGGACAGATGTGAGTGATGCTGTGAAAGAAGGCTCAGTAGGACTTAATAGTTAATTAGATATGGAGGGAGAGAAGGGTTGATGATGGCTGTCCATTAAAAGAATGTGGATATTAAACTTGGGAGAGTTTCTATAGGCTAAAAGTTTCTTCTTTATCTCATGATGCTTAATGGATTATTTGGCTTATAAGTGATTTAATAAATGGCGTGTTGATTAGTTCATCTATTATAGAAAGATATTTATTTGCCTACCTACCTTATATTTATGAAAAGAAGATGTACATAAAAGTTCTTTGAAACGTACAGTATAGAGTTCATTATGTATCAGGTACTTTTCTAGGCATTGTAGGGACTAAATTGTAAAAGGCCCTGCCTTCAAAGATTTCACAGTCTAGAAATTCCTTACCTGATATTTTAGTTTCATAGCTTCATTGCTTTATAATATTTGAATATTTTCATCATCCACGATTGTGAGCATTTGTGCTAAGTCCTGTAATTCTTAATGCAAGCAGTATTGTCCCTAATAGGGTGAAGATTGGTTCTTGGTGGGGTGAAAAAATTACACTGTTTCATGTATAAAGCACAGATTTATATACAGTACCTAAACAGATATGCAGTATATCTATAGTATTAAATGTTCATCAGAGGGAACTATTATGAAAAAAAAATGTTTTAAAAGGGCTCCTTGGTGGTAGTAAGAGAGTGATAATTTCTTTTAAAAGATCCAGAAAATAAGCTAAGTATGTTGCTGTTACAGTTACCATAGACTTTTAAAGGGGAGAGATCCCTTAATTCTTTAGCTAACTAGTTAAAAATTAAAACTTTTGATAATTAAGATTTTTCCATGTTTTTTACATATAGGTGTATGTTGTTGGAGGCTATGATGGGCAAAACAGACTTAGCAGCGTAGAATGTTATGATTCCTTTTCAAATCGATGGACTGAAGTTGCTCCCCTTAAGGAAGCAGTGAGTTCTCCTGCTGTGACTAGCTGTGTAGGCAAATTGTTTGTGATTGGTGGAGGACCTGATGATAATACTTGTTCTGATAAGGTAAGCCTTGTTCTCTTATAGAAATTACTAATGACATACACTAGAAGAGAAATACAGAAGGTTTATCAAGTAGGTAGTTAGGTCTCTTAGTGTGAGGGGCCTTCTAAAAATTGGTACTTTATGTTTTGTAGGGAAAACACTGAGTTACAAGTTACTAAAGTGAGATCTTAATATATCTAACATTTTCTGTAAAAAGTGTGATTCAGTCTTTTTGAAATGAGACTAATCTCAATGTTGAGATCTTGTACTAAATAAACTATTTTGTTGAGGGGGAGGGTATAGCTCAGTGGTAGAGTGCATGCTTAGCATGTACAAGGTCCTGGGTTCAATCCCCAGTACCTCCATCAAAATAAGTAAATTAACAAATACCTCCCCTGCCAAAAAAGTTTAAAAATAAACTATAAACAAACAGACAAACAGTTTTAAATAGTTTACAGGATCAAAAAATTATTCACACAAAACACAATTGGGAATTGAATTAGCAAAGGGTAAGACAATAACTAATTATACTGCTTCCAGCTGGGTCATTTTCTGCATACTCTGAAAATATTCTTTAGAACAAAGAAAAGGAAAGAAACCTTTCTAATGTAAATAAAATATAGCACAAAGCTGCTACCGTTCATTGAACTCCTGGGACAAAAGAATATGTGCCATCATGACATGACAGAAAATACCATGTTTATTCTGGAAACAAATGTCTAATGCCTAATTCATTTAGCAATAATTAACTGAATTTTGTCAATCAATAAATTCTTTTCCTAAATTAAATTTTAATATAATGTCAAATGTTACATATTTAGAATTCATTAGTTCAGAATTTGTGATAATTCAAAGTATACTGAATTGAGGTTCACTTGTGTTCTTTTGAAGAAAGGAGTTCCTAAATGTGTAAAGAAATTGTATTCAAATTGAGGCATACTTCTCCTATATAATACATTTTTTTTTTTAAATCTCGTCTCTTAATTTTAATGGAAATAAGTTAAGCAGACCTGGTAGCCATTCATCCTGGAAACAATCCCTGTTTGTAACTAAATTCTGCTTGATAGTAATAAACTTGCATTTCTTTTGAGAATTTCATATTCAGATATTTTACTCTCAAACTAACCTCCCTTAAGTCTGAATTAATGGGTTTTTATTTTTAGTCATATTGGTAGACTTTTTATTAAGTAAATTTGCATTTTTATTGAGAAATTTTAATTAAATATTTCTATACATTCTTAGGTTCAATCTTATGATCCAGAAACCAATTCTTGGCTACTTCGTGCAGCTATCCCAATTGCCAAGAGGTGTATAACAGCTGTATCCTTAAACAACCTGATATATGTTGCTGGTGGACTGACCAAGGCAATATACTGTTACGACCCAGTTGAAGATTACTGGATGCATGTACAGAATACATTCAGCCGGCAGGTAATAACATAAAATAGGCCAAAAGAAAAATCAGTCTGGGTGGGACCAAGTACAGACCAGTATGAGTACACTGTAACTTCACTGTTAATCTATTTCATGTATGCTTGTTGTTTCATAATTTTTTGAAACTCCACCTAAAGCATATGGTATACTTGTTTTGAACTCCTTCCAAGGAATTGTCTTATTGAAATAACTTACTCTTCACAATCCCATGGTAAAGTTGGTATTGCACTTGGTCTGTTGGGGTTTTTTCCCCCTTGACCTTTTGTAGGTCCTACTCCAGTCCTTATCCCTCTCTCTTGTATATTTCAAAAGAGAAGAAATGCTCCCAAATTGATTTCTTTCCTTCTGTGGTTAGAAACTAGATAATTTGTTGTTTTTTGTTATAAAGGAAATGGCTGTACTTGGGTTTCCTCCACCCACACCCTGCTTGGACCCTCACTCTGCCTCCACCGCAGCTCCAGAAAGGCTTCCCTCCACCTTTTGACTCAGGGTTCTACCCTTTTTCCTTCTACCACCAAACTACTTGAAATGGTGCTGATGCTGGACGTCTGGCTCTACCTATACCACTCTAGAGATGTTGTACTCCCAAAGTCATTACTAATAATCTCCTGAGTCTCATTCACGTTCTCTCTTTTGTTTCTACCCAACCCTTAAATACAAGTATTCCTTGAGCCTCTTTCCGCTGCCCTCATCCCAGTTTATACTGCATTCCTGAGTGATCGCAATTACTGCTCAGTACTGATGACTTCAAATATTACTCTCCATTATAGCCTCTCTCCTGTACACCAGACTCAAGTTTCAAACTGCCTATTTGATATTTTCTATGGTATTCCAAGACTTCAAACTTAAAACAATTCACGTTCTTCACCAAGCCTACTTTTTCTGTTTCCAAGCAACCTACTGAATGGAAAAACTGTTTCTCCCTTACTCACAACACTTCTGACACCAGATATGTGGGTTTATTTCCACACCAACCAATTCTCCATCTCCAGTTGGTGTCTGACAATTCAATTCAGTTCTGACACTACCTGAAGTTAGTTTCAGATTCCACAAGTTAAGGCCTCAGTCCTACAAGACTGTCACCACTTCAAATGCCAATCGCAATTCCCAGGTTGTCACCAATACTTCTGATCAGTCAGCTATAACTCAAGGTTTCCACAACCCCCTCCTTGGGTTCAGTAATTTGCTCAGGAAAACACCTATTAAAGTTTACAGGTTTATTATATAATGAAGTATATTTAAAAGGACACAAATAAACAGCTGAATAAAGGGGTACCTAGGGTAAGGCCCAGAAGAGTCCCAAGCACGGGACCTTCTGTCTTCATGGATTTGAGGTGCACTACACTCCTAGGACATGGATTTGTTTACCAACCTAGAAGCTCTCCAAATCCTTTACTTTGGGGATTTTTATGGAGGTGTAATCCTGTAGACACGATCAGTTATTGATTCAATTTCCAGCCCTTCTCTCCTCTCCAGAGAAGGGAGGGTGGGGTGAATCTTTCAAGTTTCTAATTATGGCTTGATCTTTCTGATGACCAGCCCTCATCTGGAGCCCACCAAGAGCCACCTCATTAGAACAAAAGACACTCCCATCAACCAGGAAATTCCAAGGGATTTAGGAGCTCTTAAGTCAGGAACTAGGGGCAGAGACTAATATATATTACTAATATATGTTTTTCTGTTGCATACCTGGACACAATTTTTTAGATTTTTCTTGTTTTCTCTTCAATTGATTTAGTCTATCATATCAATTCTGTGTCCTTAAGAGTTTTGCCTATTCTTTTCCATTCCTGTGGTTCCTGCTTTCATTCAACTTCTCATCAGTTTTTACCTAAACTTAAAACAATGGATTCTAATCAGTAATCCTTTCTCTAATGTCTTGCTTCTCTAACCCATTTTGCCACCAGCTATTTTCCCGCAAATCTAATTATGTCTCTCGTCTGATTGGAAACATACTGAGTAAAATCCAAAAGTTTTTCCACTTCATTCTATGCTTTCTGTTGTCTAACCTCTGCTTGCCTTTCCAGCTTCATTTTCTTCACCTTTACCCCAATTACATTAAGTATCTGTTGCTTGCATTTGCTATACAGATGATGTGTGTTCCTGCCTTGGTTTATGCTGTCCTCTTAGCCTTTAATACCTTTTCTGCCTTCTCTACTTGTATTCTACTCATCTTTCAAGGACCGGATATAGTTACAACAAACTGAGGTTGCCCTATTCAGAATTTATGTCTTTTTTTTCTTGCTCTGTCACTACATTTATATCTCTATTATGGACGTCATACATTTCCTTACATAACTGTTTATTTCCATACTGGAATTCAGTCTTCTTTAGGATACTGTATTTTCTAACTCATCTCATATATCTTGCATTTATTGGTGCTCAGTAAATATTTATTGAATAAGTAAACAAATAATAGTGAAGTAAAATAGGAGTGAAGTAACAGTGGGTCCTAATTTTAAGACAATTTTATATGCAAGATATGTAAGAATTATAGACTATAAGGATAAAGACTAGAGTTTGAGTATAACACAATTTTTCTAAAGTTGTTGACATTGAGGTATATAGTCTCCACTTAGTAATATATTCAGAGAAACGTTGCCTCAACCAATGAAAGGGATATAATAGGATCTCAAGCTTCATAGTAGAGAGAACATAATCTTCTACCCTCTTATATCACATTTAAGTAAAATGAACCACATTTCTCTAGTTCAGTGGCCTCCTGGAAAGGACAGTTTCTAACTCTGTAAGTGAGGTGTACCCTGCCACATAAGAACCCTGTTACATTCACCTGTGTGACAGAGTGTTTACACTTAATTCTGAATTTTTTAACCAAATCTATTCTTTATTGATTTATCACAGTGCATATTTTAAAGCACAGTGCATTTCTGCTAAGAATTACTGTTCATTTAAAACTTGACTATACTGTATAAGACAGTAGGAGAGCTTAGGAAGATAATTGCCAGCATCTAGCGTAATACAGGGTATATAATGAATATATTTTAACTAAATGATTGAGGTAAAACTAAGGAAAAACAACAGGACATACATGGCACATTTTCCCTAATTAAACAATGACTGATACTGACTTCAGATATTTCAAGGAACATTTAGATCAGAAGTATATTTATTATAACAAAGACAGATCATTAAAATCTAAATCAAGTATTCCATATCAAATCTCTTGAAGCAAAAAAAATACTGAGATTTCTAGGATTATCTTTTCTCCCCTGGTCCTTTCTTATTACCAGTACCTCTAAGTGCATATTATTGATAGGCAATTTTTGAACCATCTGTAAGTGTTTGCCTACCTTTTTAATACTAATCAAATGAAAGAGGATAAGTCAACTGTAATCTCATGGTAGACAGCTATTTGAGTCAAAGGTTGTGTTTTGTTTTTTTTTTTAATGCTTTGAATAGTGAATGACCAAAAAAAGAGCTAAAAAATGAGTCCTGATAGACCCAGCCTTTTCTCTTTCTGTACTTCACCATTTCCTTGCCTTTGGACTTTGCATAATTCTCAAAAGCCACAACATACTATTTTAAACATATTTTGCTTTTTAATTTTCATCAGGAACATATTTTTTTTAATTGTTGGGGGTTTTTTTGTTTTTTTTTTTACTTCCCTTGTTTTTTTAACCTTTCTTCTGTGGACTAGATATTTAAAATATCACTGAGTTTAGAATAATAAAAGAAATCTGATTCTTTCTCTTTATGTTGTCATTTTAACATTTAAGCATTATAAAAATAAGGAGAGGGGTATTTTTTACAGTTTCATTTCATTGTGTTTCATTGAAGTCAGAAAAATAACATTAAAACTTCATATATTAATAAATTAGTTTTCTTACTAGCTGCCATTACTCTTGAGATTCTCAGAGTGAAATAAACTATTGTACAAGTAATTTCCTGATATGAATGAATAACTGTTTTCATGGTTGCTTGCTTTATTTAATTCTGAGAATTATTTATGAAATGATGTTAATAACAAAAGCCTATAATTATATAGCTTAAGAATCATCATCAAAGTGACTTTAAGGTTTGGTAGTACAAGTCAACATGTACTTAAAAACTAAGGGTGTTGTTTTTTATTGTATTCAGAACTCTTAGAATTTATAAAAAGAGCTCATTTTGCTTTAGATGAAAAATGTTGTAGTTTAGTACATAATTGGTACAATTCACGGGTGGTATTCTGCATAAAAGTTTGTCATTCACATGATAATGGGGCAAGTAATTTTGTGTGTATATAAACTCTAATGTAAGAATTTTTAAATACTCCCTAATTCTTTTAGACCCTAAGATACTATCCTTTATTATTTTAGTCCACCAAGATTTAATTTTTTTCTACCAGAGCAAAATTTTTATATAGCAAATCTGATCAAGTAAAAATGTTTATTGTACTCATTGGTAGAACCCATTTCATTTTTGGTTATGTGGAAACAGGATAATAAGTAAGATCAATAACTTTCTGAGTTAAAGTAAATTGTAAATAGAAGAATAATCGACCTGTAGCATAACCAGATACATGCAGTAGTGAGACAATTTTACTGTGATTTCTTTCTTTGAAGAATCACTCTTATCCTTGCAAGAATATTTGTTTTGTATAATAATTATAGTTATTGACACAGGAGTAAAATTTAGCTTAGAATCTCATTGTGTGGAATGTTAACTATAAAATCTTATCTGGGGAGTTTCTATGCCCCACCCAAGGCCTCTAATAACATCTTTGTTAATTTGGTCATAGCTCTTTCATTCATTCATTCAATTTGTGGGTAATCCCATATAATGAATAATGTCCCTATCCCTTGGTCATGTAATAGCCACTTCCCTGTAATAGGAGAAGCAAGCCATACTCTTCAAGGATGTTTTTGTTAAACTACTATTAAGATAATTAAAACTCTTCTCTCAATTCACCACCCCCACTTCACTTCCCGTATCTTGATCCCAATTACTGACATACATTCTATCTTAACACTCCCTTCACCCATGCAAAATTATCTAGTACTCACATATAGAGCAGGAGTTGGGCAAAAGGGAGCTTATTTCATGTCTCCTTTTTTGACTGTGTTAAAGCATGCCTTATTTTACTTTTCAGTTTGCTACCAAATCCCCTATCTTCAACAGCTAATTTTTTTTTAATTTGGTTGAACAGGAAAACTGTGGTATGTCTGTGTGTAATGGTAAAATATATATCCTGGGTGGAAGACGGGAAAATGGAGAAGCTACAGACACTATTCTCTGTTATGATCCTGCAACAAGTATCATCACAGGGGTAGCTGCAATGCCCAGGCCAGTGTCCTATCACGGATGTGTGACTATTCATAGATACAATGAGAAATGCTTTAAGCTCTAAAGCCAGGATACCTCACCCAAGAAGCCACACCAATCCAAGATGAGAGGTTTTAAAAACTCCAGAGTGGGAAGTTGACATATTTCCTTTATACCATATGCACAAAAAGGTAAAAATAATAATTGTGGTGCCTTTCTCCCCAAAATATCAATCTTTCAAACTGTAATAAAACCTTTCCTGTAATTGAAAAAAAAATATATGTTGAAGGTAATAGTGGTCTTTGCTTGGGCTTTGAGAGTGTATCTTTGTATTTGTAAGAAACCTATGTGAAGTAGGAAATAATGTCTGCCTGCATATAATAATAATGTCTGCCTGCATACCTTTTAGGAATTTGTGAATGGTCTCTTCATTTATGTAGGTTTATCTGCAAGACTGTATATTCCTTATTTTGTCTTATGTGTGTGTGTGTATGTATATATAGAAAGAAAAAATTTCATGACTTAAGGCTTCATTTAGGTTGACTCACATAATGCTTAGAATCATTCTAAAGGGGAAAAATCAGTTTTAAAAATCTTTGTCACTGAAAAATATATCCAAAATGATTAATTTTACTGGGTTTTTTCCCTATAATTGATAAAAATGTAATGACAACAATTTGAGTATCAAAAAACACTGAATTATTGTGACTTCATTCTTTGAATTGGTTTCTTATATTAAAGATTTTTGAGGAGGGAGGAGATATAAAAGCAGGTACCCCTAAAATGGGGATTAAAATTGCAGATTAGTTCCTAAGAAAAAAGCTACCTAAGACCATTGAAAGGAAAATGACCCACCGTGGCTCACAAAAGTCTTTATGTATCATCTCTAAATCCTCTAAGGAAGCGCCTTTTCTTGAACCTGGTAAAAAAAAGTTGAAATCCACTTTGTAATATTATCTTGTGAAAAACTGGGATAGATTTTCTCCCTAGCCCAGTATGGTTTGACCTCATTAGTATGGTGCTTTGGGTGAGGACCTCTTCCTGGTTACCCTGTTTTCTTGTGAACAGCTGAAAATCCTGGGAGTCTCTACTGTTAAGCTGTCCTTACAGGATAAAGTGGGGACCACCTGTCTCAGTGGGTCCATAATTTTTTTTAATTAGCTATCTGAAGAAATTTAACAGCAGTAGTTGGCAGTCTTCTATAATATCTCTTTCATCTGGTACCCATGGTGTAAAATGTTGATCAACATTCTCAAGCTTCTATGCATCAAATTGCCTTTGTCTAGATGTTTCAGTTTCAGTTTAATAAAGCTTACTAGTTTTCAGAGAAGAATGTAAAACTTTTTTCTAAGGCAAATGGAATAGCAGAAACTACAGCATAGACGATTATTGTTATTTCTGGGTGGACAGATAAAATTTACAACATTTTAGGGATGTTCCAGGTAGCCTGCTGTATTTCAACTTCCCAGGCGTTACTGTCATCTCACATCATGATTACATACTCCTTGTCATAGGGGAAATGACGCTAATATGTGATTATAGTGTCACCAGATTTCTGTTAAAACCAAGGTAGTAATCAAAAATCTAACATTGATAAACTACTTTTTTTTCCTCATTTTAGAATGATACAGAGATTTCAAATAAACTATATGGCATCAAATTTAATGCTTAGCTGGAATCTGAATTCTGAGGAAAACTCTAAAAAACTTAAATTTTTAGGGAATTTTTATTTTTCAAATCATATATGAAATGGTATATACCTTTTTGTGATAATTATCAAAGCAATTTAGAAAACAGTTTTCTACCATTTTAGTTGAAAGGCAATAGTAGATACAATTGGGATACTGTTTTAAATTTTAGAGTAAACATCTATTTCTGCATCAAACTTTTGTAGATAATGGAACCTATTTAGTTCAGAAATTCTTTGTGGCATATGAGATAACGTATGAGAAAAGTGTTTTGTAAGTGCTGAGGATTATATAAATGATACTTGTTATTTTCATGTGTATTTGTAAGATCATGCCCATGCATAAATACAGACACTTCACACAAAAAGACTTTCTCAACATAACTTGTATTCTAGTATTTTTGTCTATTATAAAAGTATTAACTATTTACTTGTATTTTGTTACACATTTATTTTTAATATTCATGTGTTTATTGTAGTAAATTTGAAATGAAATCCCATAAAACTGAATTTGTTTAGACATAGACCTCATGCCAATATTGTTTAATTTTTTTCTCTACATAATTTAAAACTACATAAATTAAGTAGGCCACCAAGAACTTAGCTTGAACCCTATGAAATTAAAGTAACAATTTTTAAAGTTACCTGATACTTTACTTTCCTTTAATTCTTTATCTTCCTTTATTGATTTTTGATAAATAGTAATGTTAGCTTTGATAAAATAATAAAGAACTTTAAAGTATAATTAGTATATCAAAAGGGATTTATCAACCACATTGGTGTCAGACTATATTCATACTGTCATCACAGAGTTGACAGATTTTCTTTTGGTGGGTGATGCTCATAGAAGCCTTTGGGTTAGGATACATGTATATATATGTAGATAGATAGTATGCTCATCTACACACATTTATACAAGCACCAAGAATTTTATCAGTTTGTGATGATCAGAAAAAGGCACATAAAGTAAAAATGAGCTGACCTTATTAAATTCAGTTCCAGAAGTTTTTTATTTTAATTTGGGCATTTCTAGAATACTTCTTTACATATGAAAGTACAGGATAAGTATTAGTATGATGGCTTGTATACCGTCAAAATCTATATGATACATACAGTTTAACAAGATCAGAAAACAGATTGGAGGTGGATTACAAGTTTGCTAACCCTAGCCATGATACCTCAGTGGGAAGGAAATTTAAAAGTATGTTTTGTGGATCAACAGAAAAGTAGTTTCTTTTTTCATGAATTTTAATCCTTTTTCATGTGTTTCTATATGTGAGTGAACTATAAAGTGGTCTAATTTTTACAACAAAAGGCCTTCCTTTTCTACTCTACTCTTCCCACTGTCTTTACTGCACAGGTATGAAATGGTAGCCTGTTGTATCTTCAGTAACCCTTTTTTCCCTAGATGACTGAAATACAGATATTGACTCCATTTAAACCAGGTATTAAGGAAAAAAATGATGTAAATACTCAGGGAGGGTATTAACTTGTCCTTTTTGCCTAATTGGAGTGTTTAAAGTGCCATAACTAACTTCAGTTCATGATTCTAGAGTAAATTTAATTTGGTAAAGGGGCTTCACACATGATGGTGGTTAAACATTCATTCTTTTATATTTAGAAAGGTGAAAGTGTTTGTGGACTGACACATTTCCTCTTAGTGAAAATGAATTGTTTATGTATCTCTACTGTCATACACCCTTTTTGAAACTCAGGAACGACAAAGGTTCAATTATACTACTTTTGTCAATATTCAAACCAGGTGTGTTTTTTTTCCCTGTCGTCTGGATATGGCAATAGATTTTTTTTAAAGAACTGCTGTGAGAACCCATATATGAAAAGAGAGGGGTTGAATCGTTTGTGTGTGCCTTTGGTTTCTTGAGATTTATATGTGGAAAAGTCATCTTCTACTCTAGACCGTATATTTAAAGAGAAGACATTGCTGCTTATGTGGTGCCAAGTGACAAGATAATGTCTCTTAAAGGCTTCCTATGGACCGCCTTTATTTTCCTAAACTCAAGACACCAGTTAACCTCAACATAGTTTTGGCCTTATTAGGATTTCTTGTCCATTATACTGAAAGCCAGGTTTACATCACCACATCCCATTATTCCTTTTAGTTAAATAAATAAATTCATATACCAAGAAACCAGAATGAGGCAGTTTGATTGGCCTTCAAGGCAGTAGGTTTGACCAGCTAGCTATACTTATTGTCACATCTAATGCTAGGCATCAGAAACCACTTGAGCCAGGAGTGTGAATTGATAATTCCAGAGACATTTGCAACATACTTCAGACTTTTTTTTAATGTTTTTTATGAATGTTTTACATTTGTGAGATTGCCTTAGATATTAAATTTACTTAGTGCTAAAGATGATCATCATAAAAAATTTTTAAAATAGCAATAGTCATAACTTATTTTATATATTTTTCCAAAGAAAAGAATTTGTTTTAATGTTTTCAAAATAACTGCATCTGAATTTGTTTACGTGCCTTAAGTTCTCTAGTGCTATTTTAACATTTTTTCAATCTAAATAAAGCTTATCTTAGATAAGTTTCATATTTGTTTCCTATAAATTTATCTTCTTAATTTTTTTAATGAGCACCAATCATGTGGTTGCTTGGCAGAAAGAGAATGTTAAGAAAGGTTGTTGAGTGTTTGGAGTTTTATTATACTTGGGAAGGTTTTTGTTTGATACCAAGGTGCTTTTTAAGATATTTAGAAAAACATCTATCTTACATTGATTAAACCCTTGTAAACATTATTTGCAGTATCTACATCTAATATCAAAAAAGTAAATCTTCTTATTTTTGTTCCATTCTTACGTACTATTTTTTTTCCCTCTACAAGCTCTTTTACTTATCTTTCTTGAAAAAGTTCTTACTCTTTCCTTCCCCAACACCCCTCCCCATGGTTTCTTTATTTAAATTCTTACTGAGAGTTTCTGGAGCTACCTAAGACAACACAATTACAGAGCTGAACAAGAGTATAATGTGCTTTACAACTTGTACAGACCTGAGGCAGCCAAATGTCATTTGCTTTCAGAGGCTCCAGAGTCTTCACAGTGGAGAAAAAAAAGCTTTGTATTTCTTTCTTCTCAATTCAGTTGCAGCACACTAATACTTATATGTCTTGTTTAAATATCCTTTGTGCATAGTTTTCTTTAATTTTTTAAAAGTTGTTGTATCTAGTAAAAATGTCTCTTAACCATTATTACTTGACTATGGTTGTATTAAATTTTATTTACCAAAACCTTTTTGTTTTGTCTTATCTTAAATATATTCGAATGGTTGTTTGAAAAAGGAGTGGAGGAAATTACAAATTAATATGTGTATTTACTGGTATGCCCACAAAGTAACTAGAAGGATAAACAAAATCTAAAAACATTGGTGTGTATGAGGAAATGGTGGGTTAGGGACAAGTAAAAAGCAACTTCATTGTATACTCCTATAGAGTTATGTGTAATTATATATATAAATATGTATATAATCTACTTTAGTCTGAGCCACATGAAAGTGTTACCTATTCAAAGAAGTTTTTAACTCCTGGAAAGTGATCCATAACATTTGCACTGTAGTGTTCTTTTGATTTGGGTTGCAAAAATACCCCTGTAATAATATCAAGAGTAAAGAACTTAAATTTTATTTCAGGTGTCAAAGAGGGGGCACATTATCAACCACAGAGGCGATGTCTGATTTTACATTAGCAAAAGTACAATTTCGAAAAGATATGTTACAGAAGCACAAGCAATGCTTAGCTTTTTATGCTTAGTCTTTGAATTGTGCCAACAAAATACAATGGCAAGTTAGAATGCATCTTAAATAATAAATATTAAAGCTGTTACTTCAATTTAAAAAAAAATGGAAACTTAGAAACACACACACAAAAAAAGTAAAGGTGTTTTCATTGTACTTAATTCCTCTGGAAAGTGGGTGGGCTTCATCAGATCTGATTCCAGCCAGTGCTCTGCCAAAAAGCCATTTAACCTCTCTGAGCCATATTTCCCTTGTTCTAGGAAATGTAGTCATAGTACTCACCTTACAGGCTTATTTGATAATGGGATGTATGTTGAAGAGTGAACAGTCCTGGCACAGAAGAGGAGAATATAAATGTTGGTTCCTCCTCCGTGTATTTTGTTTTTAGGATAAAACTACCATATGCACAATCAGGGAAGAAGTTGAAAGAATTAAAAGTAATTGTTAGCTTATATTTGGAAAATCACGGATAATGGGTAAAGAATAGAAGCCTCTTTAAATTTTCTCTTAAAAAAAGTGTGCTCTTAACAGAATGAGGGGCAAAGTGAGCTAAACCTGTCTTCTGTTTCTCTGCTATTAACTGCTAATGGAGGCTAAGAAAATCAGAAGGCATGATTTCCTCCTAATTATGTTGGGGTCTTTTTTATTTTCTATATTTTATGATGCTTTGACATCTTCAGAGAGCCTTGCTGGCTGGGGAGAAACTGTTCCTCCCAGGACTAGCTAATTCCTAGGGGTAGCAAGCAGCTCATCGGTGAGCCTAGCTTTGGTATATAAACCAACCAATCTCCTGTCCAAACCCCCAGTCACTTCCTTTAACTTTCAGCACACCAAGCTAACATTTCCTCTACCTTCTATCACCCTGGGGCCAGGTACCAGAAGACTGAGAACTTCCCCATTGTCCCCAAACCACCTGGAATTATTCAAACAAGCCAATCTTAAACTGTTTATCCTGCCATGCCTTGATTTTCTCATGGAAACACCAGGAAAGTCTGTGGCTTTCTCCTAATTTCTTTCTGCCTCTGGGACACTGGTGCTTCCCCTGTGGGCTCTGTGTGACATGATGTGCATCTTGCTTCAAGGGGAATAACAAAGTTTTCTTTCAATGGCTTTGACCTCTCCCTCCATGTTGTCACTCAGTCTCATTTATAAATTAAGACACAAATCACTTGTTCAAATAGCCCAGAAATAAACCCACACACCTACAGTGAATTCATCTTTGACAGATGGGGCAAAAATATACAATGGAGAAAACACAGTCTCTTTGGTAAGTAACGTTGAGAAAGCTAGACAGCCACATTGTAAATCAATGAAGTTAGAACATTCCCTCACACCATACACAAAACTAAACTCAAAATGGCTTAAAGACTTAAACATAAGACAAGACACTATAAACCTCTTAGAAGAAAACATTGGCAAAATATTTTCTGACATAAGTCTTAGCAATGTTCTAGGCCTATCTACCCAGGCAATAGAAATAAAAGCAAAACTAAAAGAATGGGACCTAATGAAACTTACAAGCTTTTGCACAGCAAAGGAAACCATAAACAAAATGGAAAGACAACCTACAGAATGGGAGAAAATATTTGTAAATGATGCAACTGACAAGGGCTTAACTTCCAGAATATAAAAACAGCTCATACAACTCAATAACAACAACAACAACACCCAATCCAAAAATGAGCAGAGGACCTAAAAAAGCAATTCTCCAATGAAGACATACAAATGGCCAATAGGCACATGAGAAAATGCTTAATTTTATGAGAAAAATATGAATCAAAATACAAAAGGTATCACCTCACACCAGGCAGAATGGCCATCATTAAAAAGTCCACAAGTGAGCATATATCCAGAAAGAACTCTACTTCAAAAAGACACCTGCACCCCAATGTTCATAGCAGCACTATTTACAATAGCCAAGACATGGAATCAGCCTAAATGTCCATCGACAGCTGACTGGATAAAGAAGATGTGGTATATTTATACAATGGGATACTATTCAGCCATTAAAAATGACAACGCCATTTGCAGCAACATGGATATCCCTGGAGAATGTCATTCTAAGTGATGTAAGCCAGAAAAAGAAAGAAAAATACCATATGAGATTGCTCATATGTGGAATCTTAAAAAAAATGAAAGGAAAAAGAAAGGAAAGAAAGAAAGGAAAGGAGAAGGAAGGAAGGAAGGAAGAAAAGAAAGAAAGAAAAAGAAAAAAAGAAAGAAAAAGGAAGGACAGAAAAGGAAGGAAGGAAGAGAGACAAATGAACATAAACACAAAGCAGAAAAAGACTCATAACCATAGAATACAAGCTTGTGGTTGCCGGGGGGGGTAAGATGGGAAGGGACAGACTGGGAGTTTGAAATTTATAGATACTGACAGGCATATATAGAATAGATAAACAAGTTTATACTATATAGCACAGGGAAATATATACAAGATCTTGTGGTAGCTCACAGTGAAAAATAATGCAACAGTGAATGTATGTATGTATGTTCATGTATAACTGAAAAATTGTGCTCTACACTGGAAATTGACACAACATTGTAAACTGACTATAACTCAAGAAAAAATGAAAGACAAAAGTTCACAAGTGATAAATGCTGGAGAGGGTGTGGAGAAAAGGGAACCCTCCTACAATATTGATGGGAATGTAGTTTGGTGAACCATTATGGAAAACAGTATGGAAATTGCTCAAAAAACAAAAAGTAGAATTACCATATGATCCTGCAATCCCATTCCTGGGCATATATCTGGCGGGAACTCTAATTCAAAAAGATACACGATGCACCCCAATGTTCATAGCAGCACTATTTGTAATAGCCAAGACGTGGAAGCAACCTAAACGTCCATTGACAGATAATCAGATGAGAAGTTGTGGTGTATATATACACCACAATATACACAATGAAGTATTACTCAGCCATAAAGATTATCATCCTAAGTAAAGTCATATAGAGACATATCATGATATCACTTGTATGTGGAATCTAAAAATATGACACAAATGAACTTATTTATAAAACAGAAATAGACTCACAGACATAGAAGACAAATTTATAGTTACCAAAGGGGAAAAGGGGGAGGGATAAATTAGGAGTTTTGGATTAGCAGATACAAACTACTATATACAAAATAGATAAACAAGTTCCTACTGCATAGCACAGGGAACTATATTCAATAGCTAGTAATAACCTATAATGAAAAAGGATATGTATAACTGAATCACCATGCCATACACCAGAAACCAGCACATTATAAATCAACCATACTTCAGTTTAAAAAAAAAAATCACCTGTTCATTTTTATATTTTAATAGCACGCTCAGCACAGAAGTCCTTAATGCTTTACTATTTTGTTTTTTATACAAGAGCCTGTATAGACCTTAAAACAGGATTTTTGAGTCAGAGTTTAATACACATAATAATACATATGTAATATAACCAAAGTGCTAAAGGGGAATCAGTGCAGAAAGTCAAGGCTTTGAATATTCATTTCTTTTTATTTAGAGAAAAATGTGACAAAGGGAGGCATCTTGTCCAAATGGAAAGAGCAAAGAGGATTTCAAATGATAGTTACTTGCTTAACACACATACTCCATTCTACTGAGATTTGGTGAATGACACTAGAGATAGTAAGGCTTTATAGGAATTCACTGTCTGCAAGTGGGTAAACAGAAGAGGTAAAACAAAAGAGAAAGCAGCCTTTCTAGCATAGTGTGACAGCTATGGAAAAGGGCCTGCCTGAACCCCAGTCACAGGGAGTACAGTTGACTAAATAATGCCCCGCTGCTGGCTTTGCTATGCACTTGCATTGGCGCTAAGCCACACCTCCCACCAGCTACTTTCAGCCAATGACTTGTAGCAGGGATACTGAGGCACACTTCTTCCTAAGAGAGAGGTCTCTTCTGATGCTGGATTTGGGCTCCAGGACTTCCTCCTGCTTTGTCTAACCTTCATGAGACTATGTGGCAATGTAAGATGCTTCTATCCAACCTTCCTTCCCTCTCTTCTTCACTTGCTTTTGGGATCCACTGGTTCTCCCAGTCTTCTCTCTCCCTCCCTCTATGTTTTCCCTCATAGGCATTTTCTTGCATGTTTTTATTAAAAATTCTTGCACATTTGATCTCATCTTGGTGTCTGCTTTTCAGAGGACACAGGACTAACATACATAGCAATTAAAAAAAAATCCCTTGGAAATCATTGCCTTAATGATAAAGTTAGCACTGTGGTGCCATCCACTTAAATTGATTTTCTGAAAAGTCTTAGTTGTTACTCTTAGGCTAGGCTTGGTGGCAACATAATGTGAAAGTAAGTTTGAAGTCAGAATTGTGTTCAAATGCCAGCTTTAACATTTACTGCTTGTTTGTCTTTGGGCAAGATAATTCAATCCTTCTGGGCTCCAGTTTCCCCTCTTCCTACTTAGGCTTGTTTGTGAGGATTACATTAGAATGTAAAAGCATGTAATGTCCCAGCAAGCAGCCCTTCCCTGATTGCTAC